TATGTATTTAAAAAAAGACTTCTTATTGTCCTTAATCTGGGAAGCTAGTCCCAGTTCCATCTCTGCCTTGGCCTTCCTAACTACCCCCGTACATCCCCAAGCAACTGCAGAATAGCCCTCCTTGGTGATGACCCCTTCTTTCCATTGGGTGTACGCCTCCTTTTTAGCAAGGAGATATTCCCGGATGCTTTTGGTGAGCCATGGAGGCTTGTGTGCTCTCCTGCTCCCTTTGATCCTCGTTGGGATTACCTTCCTTTGGGCTTGGAGGATCGTCTCCTTAAGGAGCGACCACTCTCCTTGGACACCTGGCTCCCCTCCCCTCCGGGACCTCAGCGCTTCTCCAACTATCCTCCTTAGACTTTTAGGAGAGGGTGCTAAGGAAACCCTTCCCCAGCCAACTAATATCAAGAGTTCTTATGGCACCTGGCCAGTCAGACAGCTGGCAAGGCCTGAATGTCTAAACTCAGTTTGATCTTTGTACTCTGGAACCAAGTATTTCCCTGTCCCTAAGGGATGCTTCACTTCCAGAAACAGGAAGTTGCTTAGAAAAACTAGTCTGCCAGTACAGCACACACACCCCATTGCATGCTGGGAATAAGGCAGGGGGGCATTTCAACCAAGCTGGTGTTAACAGGATGCATGTGCAACAAACCTTGCAAGAGTGCGGCTGACATGAATGGGACAATTTAGCAACACTCTTAGGGAAATGCCTCTGGGAACTCTAACCTGGTTGGCCTGCCCAGGCCCATGAGCTGCCTCCAGAGCTTTGTAGAGTCCTTCTGACATCAGCACCAGGAAACCAGTCACCCCATCCAGGGAGTGTCCTCCATGGATTTCAGGCTCTGCTATGATAGGCTTAGATTTAGCAGCACTGTAGGGAGAAAGCTAGTTCAGTACTTAAAAGGAGCACAGGCAGGTCAAAATGAGAAGCCTTCAAAAGAAAGAATAGCTAAGTGTCTCTAACCTGAGGAGTTCGATATCAGTGTAGCCATATTTGACCTTGTAATCCCCAATGCGCCGGGTGCTCTCCTGCCCACAGATAGTTCCCACTTGCTTTATCTTCCCTGCATCCAAACCTACCAGATAGAGAGAGGACTTACTGACTCCCTGATGCATTTGTAAGATTTCCTGTGCCAGTATCCTGAGGAAGGAAAGAGGAAATGCCCACAGCAGGGGCAGAAAGATACAGCAAGAAATCATCACGGTAGGTTTAGTGACTGCATCATGGGGTTCTTGTACCTTCAGTTGAACCATCTGGTGGTGACTACTGGTCAGACAGGAACCTGGACCAGACAGGACACCATGCTGGTATGCACAGGCAGCCCCACCCCATCCCCATCCCCATCCCCAGCTACACCTGGACAACAGGCAGAAATTATAACTCTAAGAAAATCAGTTCCAGAGGGTGACCTGCATTAGCACATGGCTCCAGCTCAGGCTCCCTACATGATAAACCAAATTCACTGTGTGGATGGCCAACACGTCTTCCCAACAATAGTAAGGCATAAGTCTGACAGCTGCTGCAGATGGAGGCCGACTCATCTACTTGGTGCGGCTGAGCTGCTGTCTCCATTGCATTTGTCATTTGCCAGCCTCACCCAAGCCAGAAGACTAACCAGAGATACCTGCCAATCATGTGCTACATAAAGACTTCTGGGATACAGAAGTGGTCAATTAAACCAAAAAGCAGAGTAAAAACACAGCTGAATCAAGTGAGAAAGTCAGGAAGACCCCTGCTGTATTTACTCCCATACCATATGTAGCTTTTTACCCCCCAAAAAAATCAGCCCTCCAAAACTGGGGTGCATGTTTTAGGCCCCTGCCACACATTACGCATATTAAGCAATTCATTGGCAAATTGTGCTATAAATTTAGACTGGCCACATGTCCTAAATAAGACCAGCCACATGTGCAAAGAAATTATCATGCAATGAACTAGTTAATCACACAACAAGTTTAGACTGGCCACATGCATACAGCAATTCTCACACCATGAAAATGTCATCCAGCTATAAAGAGCCAACCAGCTACAAAGCTAGTGCTTGAAAATATGTAATAACTTTATAGCTGGTTTCTATCCAGCTTGAATTTGAACACATAGCAGGGCACTTTAGCGGGAAAACTGATTTTCTGTCCTGGAATGAAGGAACAGAATCATGGAGAGGTTGTAATGGCTGCCCCTTGCTTCTCTCCCTGCTGGCCTCTGGGAGGGAAGGGCAGAGGTAACTGTTCGGGATCAATGGTACAATGTTTTATCCTGTGCTGAATATCCAAAAAGTGCTGCCAATTTACTGAGAGGGTGAAAACGCTAAACTCCTGCAGAGTAGACTCTGCTCTTGTGATCAGGATTTAGCCACGACTCTGGCAACTTTCCCCTTGATCCCAGAGGTGGGTGGTACTGCAAAAAGCACAAGGTCAGATACAGCGGCTGGCTAAAGCATTAGGTGTGTATTGGAAGTAGCACTAGCCCCATGGGGTCAAGAGAAGATGCGCTTTAAGTGACTGAGTAGGGCACAAGTTTCAGGCTACCACCATTCTCAGAAGGTCCTTTACCATCTGGAACCCTCATGCAGCTCTTAGCTGCTTTACTGAAGCATCTGGTGACAACAGCAGAAAGTGCTGGACTGGGAGCCCCAAGGACAAAAACCTCTTTGTCCTCAGGAAAGGCTGAGCACAGGCAGGAAGCTGTAAAAACTCCACCTCAGTATTGTTTCTCACTAATGTACTTCAAACTCGGCCTGCAGGAACTCCTTTGCAGAGAGACAGGAATTCAGACACTGGGTCATATTTCCTTCTTGGCCTCTCTTCTCTAAGGCTGGCAGCAAAGGAGCCACTGAAGCACCAACTGAAAAGGCAGCAGTAAGAGACGGATACCAGTTCTGCTAGGAACCAGACCGCTCTTTCCTCACCAACAGCATTGCATAGAAAGCTGCCTCGTCCTGGGCCTGAGTTTGGCTTTCCTTTTCCCAGAACACAGCACTTACCCAACTGAGAGAAGCGGAACAGCTCATCCTCATTCTCCGTGGTGTGGTCCACGTTTAGCTGTGTCACCTGCAGCCCATCCACAGTAGACTTGCACAGAAGTGCGCGATTTGTACCTGTGGTAGGAGCAGTGCGTAAGGCAGCAGGTGGCTACTTTATGAAAGAAGGGGTGGAATGCTAAGAGAGAACAGAGGAAGAATATCCATGGGGATTATGAACAGGAGAAAAAAGGGAAGGAATGAGGAAAGGGCTGACAGAGCAGACGTACAATCACTGGAATACCCTATAAACATTTCATCAATGGGATATGGAGCCACCAACATCAACCTTTGATGCAGTGCCTGCAAAGAAAGGAAGCTCCCTTCTTCCTGGAACCCACTGTCTCATACACAGCTCTGTTCCAATTGTGGCCAAGGTTACACTCATCATATTACCCAGCCCCTAGAAGTACAGACCCAGCAACCAGCTTCAGTACCATTTTGATGCTAGTGGTCCCCACAAGGAACGATAAGTGTGTTTTCCAACCTACATAAGCCAATTCAATTCCCCACTATGGTCAAGTTTTAACTGGCTGCCCTATGGCTGTAGCTGCCCTCAGATATGCCAAGATGAAAAGCTGAGAAAGAGGCACACACCTACATTGGCGATGTAGAGCTTGTTGTTGAGAATGACTGCCACAATAGCCATGGCTCCTCCAGAGATTTCCCGCTCTACGGCCTTAAGCCTTTCCACAATCTTCTGGTACTGAGAAGGTAGCTGGTGCTGGGGCACCCCCTAGAACCCAGGATTACAGGGAAACTTAAACACACAATCCGTTGTCACAGAAATCACAGCTGGATACTAAGCTCTTCAGGGCAGGGAAGGTCTTTGTCATTGCATCTGGTGCAAAGCTAAGGCTTAAAGCACTGACAAGTACTGGCCAGATTTCACTGATCTTGGGAGACAAACATCTTAATTCTCTGCAGAATAGGAACAGTGCTGGTACAGAGGCCAATCAAATGGCCATGTCCTGATCCCTGTCTCATCCTGAAGGGGCATCAACTGCAGTGAGTTCAGTCTTCAAAACCCATCCAGCTCTTCCTCTCACTACTAAGGCTGCTGTAAACAGATACAAGGAGTGCCAGTGGTGATGGTAGGTTATACAAAGCAGAAAGCGTGGGATTAACACCTGCCCACTTCACACAAGCCACCAAAGGATCACTATGCTAGGTGACAGCTCTCAGTCAGCTTCCCTGAGGTCAAACCAAGGCACTGACCTACAGCCAAGAGGCTCCACATCTTAAATCAGCAATGTTAAGGGAACTGGGGAAGGGAAACAGAGTGGCACAGCAGTGGAGATATCTTGCTCTGGCTCTGGAGCTGAGAGTTTGAACCTTGCTACACGTTTGTGCTGAGGGTCAGCTTGACTCAATCAAACCAAGTACAGGTATCTGACTGTTTGGGGTGCAGATGACTGGAGAGGATGCTAGCCACACTATGCCCTGGCAACAGAAATCAATGTGCTTTAACCATGCTAGCTGTATGGGCCATTAGCCTCAGGAAGACCTCTGACTTTTTCTAACTGAATTTTGGGGGTTTGGGGACACATTTTCTCAGTACTATCACATTACCTCTGGCAGCTGGGACTGCAAGCTGGCCTTCTCTGCCAAAGCATCATCAATGGACTCCAGGAAACTTCTTTCTACCACATCAAAAGCCTGAGAAGGGATACAAGAAAATAACACAAGACTGGATAACAGCAGCTGATTTACAAACACAGCAACACAACATCTGTTTCCCCTTCATCCTGAAAAAAGAGACCACATTACTCAGCAAACTTTAGAAGTGTTTAGATTTATCTCCTTGGGGATCAGCCCACCTCCCCTGGAAATGCAATCGCCTTAGCCCAACTAGATAGGAGTAGCTGTAATACAACTCTGTGCAACTGTGAAGGACAGGAAGTGAAGAAAAAGATATACAAATTCTATTCAGAGAAAACGAGACACATCTGTCATACCTCAAAAGGCAGCTACCACTGCTCCAGGAAATGAGTTAACAAGTCTATTTCCCCATGTTGCCTCATCATCATCTCAATGTAAACCCCTTCTTCAATTAACATGTCCCTGCATCCAAGGAAGAAAGAATCCAACTTTCTGTAGTGCTGTCAACACTGCATTACTGGAGCTAGAAGGGCAGATGGGGCTAGACAGGAGAGGAATGAAATGCTACTGCTCCTTGTCCTCAGGGCAGGCACTCTCTCAGCTCCTGGCAGGCCTCCCCAACCTTCTCCTCATCCTGCTAAGGATCAGGGCATTCTTCTCCTTGTGGCAAAGAGAGGGTGTTAATGCAGGGGGAGGCATGGTCTCTGCAGCCACAACCCCATTACCTGCAGCAGGACTCGGTACACATCAGCATCACTGTGATCTGTGTGGAGCTGGCCCAGCAGCAGTTCTGCAGAGAGCCTCTGGCCCACAAAGTTGGTGACTCGGTTGCCATCGTAGCCATTGAAGACCCCATAGAGGTAACAGTTATTCTCACCCCTGTCAGAGAAGATCCAGGCATGGGGGTTAAAGGTGCATGTAGGGTACAGAGACCCTGCCCCCTCCCCACCCCAGCCCTCTGTGGAACCCAGCCAAGTGCCATCGCTGACCTGGGGTGCTGGTGACTCACCGGAACTTCAGCCAGTTGTCTTCCCAGGGGTGCCCATCAGTGCTCTTGCCATCTGCGCCATAGGACCGGTTGGGAGCAGAGCCCACTCCAGAGAGCTGGCAGAGGGGCAGGTCATCTGTCCAGCTTGTCTGCTGCTCCTGGGAACAGAGCCAGGGAAGGGAATGGGGAACCAGAGAGAAGTATGGAGGATGCTTCAGAGGTCAACTAGTCCAACCCCTTGCCTGACTGATCTAACCCCTCCCCAAACCATCCCAGGCAAATCCACAGTCTAATCTCTTAGCAAAGCTACAGTCAACCCTGCCATGACACCAGACACAGAACCCTGACCTGCCACAGGGAAAGTAGGGTACCATGGCAGCCAGCATCCTGCTGCTGAAAAGGTTGCTAATATATGCTCAAGAGATCCCAGGATGAGAGCCATGCCCCCTGCTACGAAGGGAGACAAAACCCCCCAGAGTCCCTACCAATCTGACCATGGGGGAAAATGCTTTCCTGACCCCAAATATGGCAATCGGTCTGACCCTAAGCAGAGGGGCAAGATCCTCTAGCTAGGAACCTCCGCGTTCAAGTGCCAGCAGTACTTCTGGCACAGCCCAGTAGCCATCCCCAGCTGTGGTTGCCGCCAATGCCCCACGCCTCTGAGAAGGGTGAAAAAACCCTGACACCCCAGGGGAAAAAAAATCTCCCCCCTGGCTCCATGGGGGTACCAGCTAATGGGGAACCAGGGCCGGGGGAGGCACCGCCTGCCCATGCCATCAAGATCCCAGGCACTGCAGCCACCCTGCAGGGGACCCTGCAGCCCTCCCTGCCACAGGGACACAAGCCGCACCCTGGGGCTGACACCTGCCCTCATGGCACTGCCCCCAGGCTCCGCCTTCCCGCCAGGGCTCCAGGCCAACCTGGGGGCAGCACCGGCGCACAACTGGCCAGGGGGCGGGGCCACACGAGGACGCCCCGGGCCATGCCCCGCCCACAAAATAACGCCGGGCTCCGCCCCCCTCGAACTGGCAGCGCGCCAGACGTAGCTCCACGTCACGAACAGCCCCGCCCCCAAGCCCAGACGCTGCGCCCCCCTCCGCCCCAGCCCGGCCCGGCCCGCCTGCAGAGCGCCGGTGGGGAAGGAGGGGGCCGCCGCCCGCCGCGGTGGGGGGGGACAGGGAAGACATGGGGCGGGCTACAGTTCCCGCCCCGGCGCTCACACTATGCAGCAGGCTCCTCCTCTGCGCCGCCATCTTGGAGCGGGAGCCGCGCCGCAGCCTCGCCCGGGCGGCGCCAAGAGCAGCCGTTGTCGGCCGCGCCCTGTCCACGGCGCGCAGCTGCCCCTAGCGGCCGCAGTGGGAGGAGCGGGATGGGTAGGGCGCCCGCCCCGCCCTTAGTGGGCGGGGCCTGCGTGGGTAGCTGGAGGGAGATTGGGTGCCTGCTAGCCCTGCGGTGCGGCGGGGCAGGGGCGCCCCCTGCTGGGTGGAGCTTGTTGCCCAGGAGGGCAGCTACTGTGTGTCCATGTGCTGCTCTGACACCCCGTGCCTCCTCACACACCGGACCCTGCTTCGCTGCCCTCACAGAGGGGACACGAGGGGCATGTGCCTCCCCCCCCACTTGCCTTGGCCCCACGCGACTGGCAGTGCGTGCCCATCCCACCTGCCCCCAGCTCCGGAGCCACGCATGCCTCCAGGGGGAGGGGGGAAGCTTGTAGCACTGGCATGAGGCAGATGCCTGAGTCTACAAAGAGCCTGTGACAGGAGCCAGGAGGGGTAGGAGCTGCCCAGTGCCCCTCCATGCCTGCTGTCAAGTGTGGTTGTGACAGGAGCCTTGGCCTATGGGTCCTGCTGGTTGGAGCAGATACAGCCCCCACTGCGAGGAGTGTGGGGGACTTCTTCATGTGGATTGTGTCTGCCTCTGCACAGCGGGAGGGAGGGAACCTGCTGGCAGTACCCAGGCCTTTGCCTATGCGGAAGGGGGCACCCTGCTACCACCCCTCTGAGTGGGGCAGGATGGGCCACGGGGGGTGTGCGCAGTGGGCCCCGCATGCCAAGGCTCTCCTCAGCCAGATCTGCAGGGAGGGCCTCGTCTATCTGAACTCAAGATGTCAGGCCTCAAATGCGTTCATAGCCCCTTTCTGGCACAGGATCACCCATATTCTCTCCGCTTGTGATTCCCCAGGGCCAGGGCAGAAGTGCCCTTGTGGTTCCACGCTGCCATTCTTTGCAGTCACCAGCATGTGGTGGACTGAGCCCTAAGTCCAGTAATGGCAAAGGGGTGACAGTGGCATAACTAGGGCGGAGTGAACAGATCAATAGCCTCAGGTGCTGACTTCGAGAAGGGCAAAAAAAAGCAGCAGCTGCTGGCAGCTCCTGCAGTCACAGTTGTGATCTTGATGGCAACCGCAAGTCACTGCTGCCTCTGTACTCTGGGTGCCCGGCTGCATCTCTACACTACCGTGGCTGTAGAACAGCCCATAGGTAACTGTATCTGCCAGAAATGGGAACAGCCTTTGGTGTAGTTCTGATTTACACCAAGGACTAAGATAGATAGCCATTGAACCAGTTCAGAATTCAGGATTCACAGAGGTGCCACAAAGTCACCTGCATTCAACCCATTCCCTCTCCTCCTGGGTTGCGCTTGCTGAGAGACGCAGCTTGGACTCTGGACAGTAGATGCTGAATTCAGTGAAGTTACTCGGGATTCTCTTATTCTTGAGACCTTGAGCTGACCCACAGGCAGGGCCGGTTCTTTCAAAGGACTCCAGCAAGTGAATTTAGAGTGAGACGTTCCAAGCGTTTGTAAAATAATACAACTAAAACCAGGTCACTGATTCTCATCTCGCTCACGAATATTTTTGTGGTATCATGGGTTAATCCAGCCTATTTCAGGGACAATAGTTTCAGTGCCCCCTGCTCCCACCGCTGCCACAAATGGGGAAAGGCTAAATAATTCCACCCCTTGTATTAAAAGCTAGCCAAAGAACTCTCCAGAATTGTGACTGATGTGTCCTGATGTGCATGATGGCTGGCATAAGGGATGCCACAGCACTGGAAGGTTCAGGGAGTGGCATATTTCCCCATGTAAATCGGGGAACATAAGCAGGATCCAACTTGAAAAGTTTCTTACCTGGGACAGCGCATTGCTGGTCAAAGTGGAACCTTTCCTGCAGCTTTGGCTCATCAGCAGTCTTGTAGTATTTCTTTAATGACATTTTGTAGGCAAAGTCTTAGGTTCAGAGACATGAAACTCTGTTTTAAGAATAATAATTAACCTCATTTCTTTGAGGGATCTCATGGAATATTGGCCAGATGATTCCAACTCTTTCTCTGTAAACCTCCTGTATGGTGTCTGACTGCAACTCCTCCCAAATATATGAAGAGTTCAGGCCATTCTCTTTCATCTGGAGCACAAGAAATTTCAGTAATCTAAACAAAGGAAGTTCATTGCTTCTAAAGACCTTTATTCACCTTATTGATTAATGCTATTTCCACCTTTTATTCATGTTCTCTCCCCATAGTAAGTCTTTTGACAGAAATCACTGTGCTGTAGTTCATAGCCAGAACCGATCTGAAGAAACAGGCTATTGGCCAGTAATGCTTGCTGAAGTCTCAGAGAATAAATCCACGATCCATTGACTTTCAGGTCTATATTCATTACAAGTTCCCTCTTTTATGGTGTGGCTGAAGCTTCAATCCTTCTCTCATTTTCGCTGCTGTTTTTTAATATCTTCCCCAGTGCTTCTTTATCTTGTAAGAGGTAAACCCAATCTGCGTACAATATTTCAAGTGTGGAGGGGTGTTGTTATCATAGAATCATAGAAAGAAGGACCGGAAGGGACCTGTGAGATCATCAAGTCCAGTCCCCCGCCATGGGCAGGAGGTAATGGGCTCACATGAACTCAGCAGGGTGCTTGTCCAGCCTCCTCTTGAACACCGCCAGGGATGGCAACTGCACCACCTACCTGGAAGTGCGTTCCAGATTTTGGTTACCCGTATGGAAATTAAGTTTTTCCATATGTCCAGCTTCTTACTTCCTTGGAAGGGGGGCTGCAACGGTTCAAGGCTTGGCCATAACCACCAGATCCTTCATAGGACCTTCATCTTCCCCCTTCCTCTGGGATGTGTTGATGTCCCTGGTTTTATAGAAAGCATCATGATTCTATTGAGCCAACAAGCTGGTGAGGGTTCTGGAAAAACACACCCTCCGAAGGAGTGCAGTGGTAGTGAGACAATCCTGAAATGGTACTGCTGTGAGCATTCAGGATGTTTATCCAGGATAATAGCTGAGAGGGATGCATTCAAATGTCATTGCATAATAGCTTCAGCCTAGCCAATACACTCATTGTCATAATGAGTTTCAGAGATTTTTCTTCCCTGCTCGCAGAGCACGGAGGTGAAGGTCAGGGAGAGAACCAACTTTTTGGCAAGGCTGCAGGTTGGGTGACATGAAGGATGTGCCTGTCTGGCATTATCAGGCTGGTTGCCCTTATCTTGATCCTGTCCTTAGTGCTGCCAAGCAATGCAAAACTTGCCTGCTCAGGGGGCAGGACCAGACAGCAAAACTGAGCTCCTCCCCAAGACTTTCCTCAGCCTACCCCTCCCACCTGCTGCCTGCATTTGTTTCCAGGCTCAAAAGCCCATCTTTTCTTTCTGCCTGTATAGCCAACTACAGTACAGCAACTGCAGAACCTCCCTCTTTGCTGTATAAGAAAGCCAGGGATGGAGATGCTGCTGTGCAGTGCTGATACACAGGAGTCAATGGGCAGCAGCTGAGCCTAAAGGCATCTGCTTCAATGCAGGCTGAAAGAAAGGGAAAGCAAAGGAAGCAGAGAAAAGAACAGAGATAGAGTGAAGGCATGCTGGATGGCAGCTCCCTTCCCCCAGACATGCTGGAGAAGGGGAGAGGGAGCTGGCCCCACCCCAGTTTGTATGCCCAGAAGAGAGCCCAAAGCAACAATACCACATGTGATTTTGGAAGGATGCTGTGAATTTTAAGCCCATATTGATTTTTTTTTTGGGGGGGTGGGGGTGCGAGGACGGACACGACTGTTTTTCTCCATGTTGTTAATGACTGCAGATCTACTGAGAGTCTCACAATAAGTCAAAGCCTTTGCTCCTGCGGACTGGTGATTACACAAGCTTTTCAGCTTTCATTTAAAAATAAAAGTAGGTTCCCAGCCTTTGTGGCTGGAGAAAAAACCTTGACAACATGACCCCTAAAGGTACAAAAAACAAAGGGCAAATAACAATTACTCTGATGTGTTAAAAACCTAGCTTTTAACCAGGATCCAGGGGACTGGATCATTCTTTCTGAATGCTTGGCTTGGCAATATGTTTGTCTCAATGAGTTTTTAGTTCCTGGCTTCAGTACCTCTGACATTTTTCCTGGGAAGGGAATTTTTGCTACCAACATAGCTGTCTGGAAACATAGGAGGAAGCCTTTCCCTAAACAAAAGTGGGTCATGGAGCAGCCCTAGCTAGCTCAGTGAACAACTCCAACTATGGCCCCATGGGAAAGCATGATGCAAATGGTTGTACTGGATGTGAAGAAGCTGCTTGGCTCAGGGGTCTGGGAAATGAAAGCTTTCACCATCATAGCTCTTCTCTTGACTGACCATAAGGAGGGGGGAGGGGAGGAAGAGGGGTATCTCTCAGATATCAGGATGAGGGGCTCATTAGAGATGAATAGATGAGCATTAGGGAAGTTTCAGCTCAAGAGATGCAGGGTGGCAACTTGAATTTTATTCTTATCACATTGAAGCTGGTGGAAATCAGACACCTATTTGTGGAAGGATATTTACTACTGGAATCCGCTGTAACCCGTGGCTTATGACTATTTTTAATATTTATGTTTTTAAATATATACCCTGTTAGCAGATTGAGTAATGGTAATGTGATGGACTAATACAAAGACAGTATGTCAAGATAATCAACACTACTATTAAAGAAAAAGTAATTCTTGGGATACAAAGGGAGAGAAAAACCCAACATAGCTGTGTTATGGTTTGTTATTTTCAACATAACTTTATTAATAAGAGACACCAGTTACCACCTTCACTTTGTTAACCACAAATATACAGGACGTCGTAAACACAGGTGCCAAGAAGGCAGGGTTCATTGTCATCTGTTTCAGAAAAACATATTGGGTAGGGGCAGAGGTGGAGGGACATTCAGGATCAGACAGACACCCTGGGGATCCTGTATGCAGCAGGCCATCCACTAGTCATCACATTTATGTATATATGTATAGCTTTATATTATACATCTTTTTTTATATATATAATATATATACTATACACAGGCAGTAATGCTGCAGGGGAGAGGCAGAG